TAAGAAATTGTCAGTCGCTTGTGACTATGCTTTTGTTGTATGAAAAATAGCAGCTTGAACTGAAAAATGTTTGGAGTTGTAACAATATGTGTATCAGAAGTGACATGAGTAATGTCAGGTTTTTTTTTTTTTTGGTTGAGCTATCTGTGTAACTAATTAAAACATTCCCTTATGAATAGAGCCAAGAACTGCAATGGCATTGAACCGCAACTCCAGACAATACATGTTAGATGCCTTCGCCCAAGGAGAACTCCATTCTCATAAGATAAAAGCAGTGTTCATCTGGGCACAGGCTAAAATGGAGGCTCAATGTTGAAATATTGCCTTATCCAACCTCAGTTTTATTCACACTCCATCTACCTCTTAGTTTTTCATTGCTCTCATTCTGTCTTTTACTCGCATGTTTTATTTATTCTCTCTGACTGTGTAATTTTCTCTTTTTCATTCCTAACTCCCAGCCAAGCTGTATGAATACCATTATTGTTTTGCCTCCACCATGTAAATATGTATATTCACCAGCCCATCTCAGTGTGCGACTGAAACCAGTTGGAGATGGTAAATGAGTCTGTGAAACCACAGGAAACCATCCCTAGTGAGCCATTTAATCCAGCTCGGAAAACTCTAGCACGACCTCAGTCACACATCAACATCACAGGCCTGACGGTGCACTGCATGTGACTAACAATGCTACATTTACCATATATTTTTCTTTCCTTTGCCATGGAATTGTTTATCACAGTTGATTTAGTAGGGAAATGAGCTTTGAAGCACTGCTGTTTTTTTTAGGACATGTCAGATGTCCTACTCTCTGAAAGAAATCGTTTTGTAGCCTATAGTCAAGCAAATTTTGATTCGCTGTGTGAATCATTCCACACCAGTACATTCAATTCCTCTTCACAGCGAATATTCACAACAAATTCACTGTTGCTGTAAACAGGCCGTTATGTTGCAATGAAGTGAAATCTGGGATGTATTTAAGCAATGAGATACAATATGTTGTGATATTGTGAATATAGCTTTGGTATATATAAAAAAAGACAATTAAAGGGATAGTTCACCCAAAAATGAATATTCTGTCATACTCACCCTCATTCCAAACAGGCAAGACTTTCGTTCATCTTCAGAACACAAATAAAGATCTTTTTAATGAAATCTGAGAGCTTTCTTTGATGCTTCAAAAAGTTCATAAAGAGATCATAAAACTAATCCGTATGACCTGAGCGGTTTAGTAAAAATTTTCTGAAGAGACACAATCGCTTTATATGATCAACAGATTGAACTTAGGCATTTGAGACATTCATCAACAGTCGTGGTAAATGTAAGCTCAAGCATGTTCACTTGCCGTGCGAGAACCAATGAGGTTCATTCTCGTGTTACGCATCACGTTTGAGCTTCTGCATGAACCAATGAGGTTTGTTCTAGCGTGTCAAGCAGGTTCGGTTGAGCTTCTGTTTATGTTCACTGATTAATGTTTAAATGTGAATAAAAGCCTAAATTCAATCTGTTCATCATATAAAGCGATCGAGTCTTCAGAAAATTTGGACTAAACCGCTCAATTCATATGGATACGTTTTATGATCTCCTTGTAAACTTTTTGAAGCGTCAAATGGTAGTTGCGTATCTGTCAATGGAGGGACAGAAAGCTCTCAGATTTCATCAGAAAGATCTTCATTTGTGTTCCGAAGATGAACGAAAGTCCAGCTGTAGGCCTATATGTGTTATGAGGTTTAGCTGGGTAGTAAGGCTGCTGGGTTCAAATGAGGGGAAGTTCTCATAATTATGCAGCGGGCAAATGATTAATATGCTGTTGTTTCATTCCACTATTTGTGCTGCTTTTGTCCACTATAGAAGTGCTATTAGAAGGCCCGAGGAAGCTCTATCAATATCCTGGCAGCTCATTACGGCTCCAGCCTGAAGCTCCAGCCTTTATACCCATTTTTGGATCTCGCTTGTAATTGGATGTCATTTTTTCACTTTCTGTACTTTATTAAGTTGTTCAGGTAAGATAATGTTTAATCTTTTCTCACAAAGAAAGGGAAGAAAAATTAAGAGGAAATCAGTGTAAGTTTGTTACTTCAGACTAATCACATCCTCACCCCAACACCTGCTTTATAAATGGCCCTTTCATATTTGGAGTGTTACATTCCTTTAACAGTGGCTATTCCGGGATGTGGGAACCAGTGGTGGGGGAAGTGGCAAAAGTGACAGCCGGACCTTCTAGAGCAGTGCTTCTCAAACCTGTCCCAGGGACCCCCAGCACTGCACATTTAGTGTCTCCCTCATCTAACACGCTTGAGTCAAGTCATCAGCTCATTATTAGAGATCGCAAGACTGGAAATTGGGTGTGACTGTGTCCGATGTGGAAGACATACAACATGTGCAGTGGTGGGGGAACTCCAGGATGGGTTTGTATATGCTAAAGCTTGTATATGTGTGGTAATTACTAAAATACATTGGTAGCCACTTAAACCGGCTTCGTGGAGAAGGCCACAAGAGGCAACCCAAAACTGTACCATATAGTTTATTGTACAACAATAAAAAAATGTCCTTAAAATCAAACACTGAAATGTATTAAGATACCTACCTGCATAACTACGTACTCAAGAGAGGCGGAAAGAGGGTTTCCATATATATACTGACGGCCACTTGCATAAAATTCTTAGGGTTTGTTTACATGACAGCGACGAACTAAAAACTGAAAAGTTTTTCCTTTGCATTTTTCATGTACAGACGACACCTTTGTCAAAATGATTCACACGTATCCATGAAAACGACTTAAAACGCTGTATTCTGCTGCCCGGCCAGTAGTTAGCGATGTCACTTTTTAAGAAACAATATGTGCCTATAGAACATGTAATATGCATGTGCATGATGTCATTGTTTTCAAAAATTCGCGTTTTTGTATTTACACGGAGATGACAGAAAAAACGTGCACTTTGAAACCCATTTTTAAAAGCTTGTGTTTTCAGCCCTCCAAAATGCCCCTGTCGTGTAAACGCATTAAAAAGTTTTAGTTGAAAAGGGTATTCTATTTTTTTTTCTTTAAGACTAGTTATATTATTTTTTTATAACTATAGTCAGTTACATAAAATCTGAATCTAAACCTGGAATCAAGAACATTTTGTCTATCTTTGTGACCAGACTGTAATTCTGCAGTTATTCTATTGTAACTATAACAAAAAGTAACTCGTCATTGTCATTGAACATAGTGAGACATTTAATTCAGCTCGGAAAACTCTAGCACGACTTCAGTCACACATCAACATCACAGGCCTGACGGTGCACTGCATGTGACTAACAATGCTACATTTAGCATACATTTTTCTCTCCTTTGCCATTGAATTGTTTAGCACAGTTGATTTAGTAGGGAAATGAGCCTTGAAGCACTACTGTTTTTTATGTCAGATGTCCTATATAAACGCAATCGAGTCCCTTGATTTATTTTGTATAGCTGTAATCATGTTAAATTTAACCAATTTGTGTGACAGTGAATGTTGATACTAAATCTAATCACATTCAATACAGAAAATGATCATTAAAAAGTTCAATCTAAAATCAATATTTGTGTATAGCGTTCTTAGCTTAGCAACATGTTAACATGAAACAATTGGTGTCAATTGAGAGTTGAGTCTGCTTTTCTTTTCAACAGTATGTTTTATTGTTCTATTTTAAAACGGAGAAAGGAAACTGAAATGTTTGAGCTGTAAAGCTCAGGTAAAAGGTCTTCTCCCCCAAATCTATTCAGTATTTCAAAAACTGCAAATATCAAACAACATGACATAAAATATATATCCTTTAAATCCAAACATCTGAATACTATAAACACATTAACAAGATGATATGTTCTCTATCAGATAGCGCAACACAAGAAATATACAAAATGGTAAAAGCCACTATATACTGTATACTTTTTCATAAAGAAAACAATTCCTCGAGAACTTGCTCCATTACTTTTCCTTCCTTCTGGAAGGAGGTCCATGGGATATGCTGCTGAAATGGTTAAAAGGGCACAAACCCATTTCTTTAAATGTCCATCAGGACATTTAATGTTAACACTCTGAATTCTTGCAGTCCAGTTCACAATTTGTCTTCATACTTCATCCGCTCTGAAGCTTGTAGTAACAGCCCATCATTTTAGGCCTTCAAACTGTACATGAGCAACTGAGTAATATGTTTGAGTGTGCGTACTTGTATATGTAATATGCTAGATTGTGTGTACTTGTAAATGGCTGCATCCCAATTCACATACTATCTGTCCTATCACATGTCCCAAAACACAGTACATTAAAAACAGTATAAAATTAGCACCAACAAGGTTTCAAAAGCGGGGTGTAATAGCGATGCCATAGAAGAACCATTTTTGGTTCCCTAAAAAACCTTTCAGTGACCAGTTTTTAAAAGAATCATTTTAAAAGAATCATAACGAATCTTTTGTGGAATGGAAAGGTTCCATGAATGTGATGCCAATAAAGATGTCAACAAAGAATCTTTCTTTTGAAGAGTGAAGGGTTCCCTGACTTCACACTGTTTCTAGTGGATTTTCCAAGTGTGCATTAGTGCCAACTGCGCAATGGAAGGCGTTTGTGATGACTCGTTTCAGATTTAGACATTTGTCAAGGTTGCAATAGCCATTTTGAAATGTATGACTCTAAAGGTTAAGTGGAAAGAAGAATTTAGCGCTCTTTAAAATGAATGTTCCAAAAGTGATGCCATAGCAGAAACATTTTGGGATCCCCAAAAGCTCCTTTCAGTACCCATCTTAAAATAAACTTTTTTTATTATTATTTCTTAGTGTGAAGAATACTTCAATAATCTAAAGAACCCTTTTCAACTATAAAGAACCTTTTGTGGAATGGAAAGGTTCCATGGATGTTAAACGCGCTTCATGGAACTATAGATGCCAATAAAGAACCTTTATTTTTAAGAGCACACAGACGCAAACAATGCATATCATAAGCATGTGCATTGGGAAGCAGCCAACACAGTCGCATGACATTCATATGAATTTGTATGATCTCTTCCCCTTTAAGGGTTAGGTGTAGGGAGTGGAGATTCATGGTGATGTTTTGATATTTATGAATTCTCATGACATGGGGTTGGAACGTTTGTATGTGTTGTGAGTGTGCTGCATGTAGGTATCCTGTTCTGTATGTAATAGAGATTGGTTACTTGCTTGCTTTGACAGATATAGTGTTTAAGGTCTACTGAGTGAGCATGATTATGTATTGGAGCCCTTAGTACATGGCATCTTCATATATGTCTGTTCTGAGGCATAATAAGATTCCTCCTCCCAGCATGAAGATGGTGGCGCCCCAGCCCAGCCCGTAGCCCCAGTTGAACTCGTGATACGTTTGCAAGACTTTGCCATCAATGAATTTGATCGGGTAGAGAACCAGAGCACACGCCTGGAGGACCACTGCAAGAGAAAAAGACAACATGTCAGAATAAATACATAAAGGGGTGGTCACACTACTTTTTTCATTCCATTGACTTCCATTCATACGCATGTACATTTTGCAGACAGGGAACGCAAGCTCGTGCAAAGAAGTTTTGCATTACAGCGCAATCCAAAGTTCAAGTTTGGTGAACCCTGACCTGCAAATTCATATCACGGGAAGTTGTGTGACTAATAGAAGATCAATAAGTGACGGCACGACCTCTCGCTGAATTAAAAGAACGCACATTTTTGCAGTAAGTGGAGTAGATTGTATATTTTTACATTATGGATTTATTATTTGTTATTAGTCTAGTGTGACCACGACTTAACACAGCGATAATTAACAAGAAGTTATGTGTAACCGTGATTTTAAGCCAGTTACAGGGAGTTGATAGGATTAATGTGAAGCAGAGCCTAACCTCTTAATCATGGTAAAATTACTGTAAAACACCCTTGTGGCTTATTGCTTTATAAAATAGCTGTAACATGAAATACACAAATGTTCAATTTAAGAGGCCATGTTATGCCCATTTTCAAAGTCTTGATTTGGGGTCTACTAGAATGTTTTCATGCTTAAAGTTTCAAAAAAACATTTTTTAACATAGTTGATTGTTGCAAGCAAGTCGCCGTCTGATGACCCGAGTGATCTAGCAGGATTATATTTAGTAATCATATTGCTAAGGTATGCAGAAGCAGTACCATGAAGACATTTAAAAATCAATATCAGGATTTTAAAATCAATTCTGTAAGAAACAAGTAGTGTGTGGGGTAATTTAAGTAAGGTATGATTCCTCAGCCTAGTATGTACATACATTGTTGCAGCTGCATTCTAAATTCTTTGTAAGTGTTTGATAGAGCTTTTAGTTAAGTCAGCCAAAGTTCTGTTCTGTAACGAATGCAAGTATGAGGTGCTAATTAATTTGTGGAGATCTGGTGCAAGTGAGAGATAGAGTTGTGAGTCATCAGCACGTAATTTAAAGAAAAAAGTATTTTCCACAAATACCCACCACATGACATTGTACAACCTAAAATGACCTTGCCTCGTCATATAAAAGGTCTAATTATCCAATACTTTAAGAGACTTATTGACCTCTATTGGCTCTATATTCTTCTCTATTTTCTTCTCTGATTTACTGTTTTTCAAAAGAATTTAGGCATTCAAGCAGTGACAACATAACAAAAAAATATATTTTCAAGATTTTAACTATTTTTGATTTTATATTTGATTTTATCACCCTGACATTTTTTACTTTATGCCACAAAGAAAAATAAAAAAATAATAATTTTCAGGTCAGATATTAAAAACATGATAATCATAGAACAGGTGTTTTCAAATTCCTGTCTGTATGAACCGCAAATCAGATTTTAATGTATTGTCAAATATATGAATGCATATTTTAATTCATTTATTAATTAATACATTTAATTATTACAATGCAAGGTGCTTTGGTTAAAAATGTCTCCCAAATGCATAAATCTATAAGTAAATGACCCACATGTCAACGTCTGATTCTTTGGGTTGGAGGTTTGTGTAATGCCTGTGCCTAAGTATGTGCAATAATGATAGAGATAGAAGCACTAATAAGCAATCAGACAGAAAAGTTACAACCGGAGAAGATCATGTCAATCAAATAAACAGAGGACAGAACTCAAAGCAATCCTGTTTGAGTTAGCAAGTCCCCCTCTGTAAACAACAAATTAATGAGAGAAATTGTGCATGCTACCATGCTGCAGGGTCTGGCACAGTGTGTGTAGAAGACCTGCCAGCGTGACACACACACACACACACACACAGAGAGAGAGAGAGAGAGAGAGAGAGAGAGGCTCATTCCCTCAGGCTCTCCTCACACTCCTCTGCTTTGTGCGAGACTGAAACAGCTTCTTGGTGCTGCTGAGTAATATACCGTTAAGCTCCTATGAATTTGTTTCATATAAATATGCTAATAAAACCACAGACTATAACAAAACCCAATCTCAGAATAACACACAGCTTTCAAAATCAACAAGATAACTTGATTCATCTGCACACATCTGTGCTGCATGACCAAACAGAACGCCCTTCAACCAAATTTATAGGTTGAGCCAATGTTGTTGTGTCGGGCTGCATTCCCAAAAAGCATCATTAGCCAACTCTGGTCACAAGTTACAGCATTACCAACATAGGTCAAAGATTCAGATGATCCCAAAATCATAGTTCCAACAAACATCCGTAAAGAGTTCATCTCGGAGTACATACAGCTCATACAATGTGCACGCAAATGGGAATTTCTCATCTTTTTTTCCTTGTGCAAATTTCTGCTATAAATGAGTTATAATAATCTGAAATTAATACTTGATTAATTAGCAGTTCACACTTTATATTAGGGGTACAACTTGTAATTACATGCAGGAATTCTTAAATATATAGAGCAATTTAAATGCATTGTGAGAAAATTTGTTTTCAAAGTTGTAAATAAAACTATATTGATTATAAGATTTATAAGATTATTGGAGTACGTTTCACAAGAAAGTTCTGTTTCAATCTTTCTACTTCAAAATTTCACATTTAATTCAATGTATTATTTGCGGTTTCTTTGTAATTACTTGTGAAATTTACTAGCAAATTCTGAGTGAAAATAGTTTTTTCACTGTACATAAAATGTAAACAATTAATCATTGTATCAAATGATTACTTTAAATGTTAGTACATACTTTTAAAAGGCATTTAATATAAAGTGTGTGTGAAGTTATTACTTCAGCACCAGCACGACATCATTAATGACAGTTTTAAACTCTTGAACCAATGACAACGGTTTTGGAAAACATTGACTAGCACTTCTCCACAAATGAATCATACTATTGAAGGGTTGGTCAAAATCCCTTGCCTCTTCAAATACATATATAATCATATATCATTTTGAATGGTTATATACTTCCTTTATAAAAATCAATAATCAAATATATTCATTATCACATAATAATTTTTATATTCTTGTGCCTGTGAAATTATATTTTCTTAAATGCATGGATGCAAGTAACCAGTTTCTTTTAGGTGCCTTCCAATCTTACTTTGAGATTGCACGTAGTACACGCAGGACACGAAGGCCACGTAACCCACAAGGCCGTTTGTCTCTTTCTCTGGGATCAGTAGAAAGGTTAGAGGGTCCTAAAGGCAGCGTGGGCACATATGATTCTTCGCTGGACATATAGTCAAGCTATATTGAGCGTTACTATCAAACTTTAATTGTTGTATTAAAATGTATTCTTTCCAGTGTATTTCCTTCCTTGGGAGTAAATGCCAGTGATCTGTTTTTCTCCTAAATGAGTGAAGGTTTTAGCATTATGTTTTGGTATACTTAACTGATAATAAGGAGCTCAGACTCTCTTCAGCCTTGATGGGAGCTGTTATTTGCTAGTGTCTGTTATTTGTGTGTGTGTGTGCGTATGACATTCTATGTAGGTTCTGGACGGTCGGACCAGACACCCCGGCGCCCTTCTCTAACCTGCGAGGCCACCACAGACCTAAATCCAATGAGTGGACGACAACTATCTTTACTAATGGCGATAGGCACCCCTATCTCCTCACATGTGTTAAATTGTTTAGGCTCTTAATGTTTCTTAGCCAATGAGAATCATTCAACCTGTAAGCAATGACGTAGCTTAGACCTTGGAAATGGTATAACTGCTGTGATCTTTGTAACTGTAAGCGGGGCGGCCTACGAACTCCTATGTGAGTCTTGAAGCTGACTTCTGCTGATGAGAATGCAAACTATCTTCAGTAAAACTTTTCTTTAATTTTTTATAATTCTGACTCCGGGTCTTCATTCTTCATATCGGGTTCTGGGTCTTTGACTGTATACCCCTTACAGTTATGGTGGAGGATGCGCTGGCAATTATTCTCGGTGACACCCCTGGCAAATCAACAAACAAGGTAGTAAGCTTTTGTTAATTGTTAGGGCTGTCTGACTGGAAGAGATTTTGAAGGAGAGCGGGAGAGCTTCACTCCGATGAGGCGAGTGAAGCTTCACTCCGATGAGGCGAGTGAAGGAGTAAGTTAATTATACTACTGACAGTATAAGAAGTCGCTGAGAGCGTCGTTAAGGGTAACGGCAGCAGACAGCGCAAGCGAAGCGTGCTCTGTGGGGGCCCCGCTGGGCATTACTGGTGTAGCACCACCCCAGCAGGGCACGTCCCTGGGCTAGAGGTCCAGTGGCACCGTAAACCTGCTCAATCTCTTCCATCTCAGATAGGGGATCCCCGAACTTAGTGAAGTGAATCAGGCAGTTAGGGATACTAACAATAATAGGGTTGTTTGCCAGGGATGCATCAGGAACAATTCCGAGAGAAAAATTTAAAAAGTTGTGACCCAAATTGGCATGGACCAGTATATGTAACTGTGATTTTGGAGTATACTTTGCAGTTTCATCACGCAGAAGCCAAGCTGTGTTGTTCAAAGATCGCCGCCTCCATTTCTGCAATAACTTCAGGTGAGTATGAACCATGATTAAGATATGGCAGAAAAATGTAATAACTTAATCAGTAACCTGAAGAGTCCTGAAACAAATAGTGAGTCAGGAAAAGCAAACGCTGTAAGCAGCTGTGCTCTAAAGCCCTCACTTTAAATAAATTTGCAGAAATGATTAAGTAAATGGTAGTCAGGATTTTGATTCTGATTGGAAATTTAAACAACTTGACTGGCTACAACCAAACAAAGAAACTGAAAAATTAAAATGTTTAGCCTCGTATTGCTTACGATGATTACAAGAAGCAAGTGAAAGAAATTCTGGGTCAGGGATAATTTCCCTGGACAAGCGACTAAAGTTAAACAGACACTTTGTGAAAACAATATTTTGCAGCTTATGAAAATTAATGTTCTGCCAATAATAATGATGAAGATTATGATTGGGCTATTATGATTAAATCAGCCACTGGTGGACTGTAAAAGAATACAGAGAACTGCTTAATCAGTAGCTCTGTTTGCATTCCTGAATGGGACACAC